CAGAGATATCTTTCTGGGATACTGGGGTGGGGTAGTGTGCATCTAAAAAGTTACATTGCTTCTTGGTATCTGGTTTCTACCTATCTGTCTAATTTGCTATCTTCATTGAAGATGCTCTCAAGATACTTTAACTCCTTACTTTGCTTCAGTTGGGTCTCCTCAATATTCAATTGCAGTTCTTATTTTCCCAGTGCTAATCTTTTTGTCTTGGCCTTGCTGATTCTAATATTATACTTCTTGCATTATGTTTTTAGTGTACTGATATGATTTTAGAGTTTCTTTTCATCTTTATCAAATAAGGTTTGATCATCTGCATACATGAGTTCACAGATTATTTTTGCTTCTTTTGTGATCTGGTCCATATATATATTATGATGAGAAGGGAGGACAGGAGACATCCTTTACACATGACAGATGTCTATTTAATCCATCAGTCCACTTGCCATTTTAACATTTACTACTCTTATAAAAAACTGTTATGTTATTTAGTAAGTTGCCCTTTACACCATAATATTCTAATATTGTCCATAGCAAAACTGTCAGTTTGAATAAATTCTCTTTCCAGGTCAATAAAAGCAAAATTTTGTTGTTTCTTTTATTCTGTCATCTTTTCACTCAGCTGTTATAGTGTGAATATGGCATCAGTGCAACTTTTGCCCTTGCTCAATTGTTTTCCATTATTAATCTCACTTTCTTTTCAAGGATTTTTTCTTTCCCACTTGTCTTAGTAGTCTCTTTTAGTTCCCCTTTCTTTTCCATACGAGTATAATTACTTTTTTTCCAGTCATCTGGTACATTTATTTTATACCACATAATTATAAAAATTCTAGTGAGTCAATAATACCTCAACATCTTCAAATGCTTTTATGCCTTCTACACTTAATCTGTCAATACTGCTGCTTTATCTCAAGCACTTGATTTTATCGCTTTTCTAACTTCACTTCTCAGAATATCAGGCTCTTCATGCTCTGCAGTGCTATGCTTCTTGAAAGCTTACTTTATTCTAGGGGTTCAAAAGATGTTTGAAGTAATCTACCCATCTTGCTCTACTCTTATCATCATCCATTGATGGATTTCCTTTCTCATCATTAATTACTGTTTTAGAGTCAAATGGCTCATTCCATTGTCTCATTGACTTTACAATTTATAGAACTGTCTTGGCATTTCTGAAACACCATATCTTCTACAAACTTCTTCCATGATATTTCTTTTGCTTCTTTCACTACTCTTTTATTTTTTCTTCTGACTATTAGGTAAATTACATAGTTATCTTCCACTTGTCATTTTTTCTATTTTTGAAAACTATTTCTTCTTTATGGCTTTTACCTCTTTGATCCACCATACTGTGTCTCATTTTTTCATTCTTCCTATTTTCTATGTCCCACAGCACTCTTATAGTAATTTATGTAAAGTCGTTTTTACATCTTTCTCATTCTTCAGAAATGCTACAAGTCTATACAGAAATTGTCTCAAATTTCTGCTTCAACTGTTGTTTCACTCTATTCCTTACTTCCTCTTCCTGGTGTTGACAATCTCTACTGGTAATGCAACTCTTTCTTTTCCTGCATCGTCCTGTCTTTATATCTAGTACTACTCATCTGTGATTGGTTGTCTAATTATATGTTTGGAATAACTCCTGTGCCTATGACATTTTTTATTATGGTCAATCTAGTCAGGATGTAGCTAGTCGTGATGCTGTTCTTCAATCATTCCACTTGTAAGAAGTAACTATTTGACTCTGCCAACGTTGGTAAAAGGCATTGATAATGAAAAGTCCTTGTCATGTGCACAGTTCCAGGAGCAACCTTACATTAGTACCATTTTGCTTCACTGTCTATATGGGGTCCTAGGTGTTGCTCCCATGGTGATCTTATTGTTCCAACTTCACCATTTAAATCTCCACCATAATTTAATTTAGCATGTATATCAAACTATCAACAAATTCTTCTTTTTCTTCTCCTGTGTACAAGTTGTTACACAGTGCTTACATTTGTTAAATTTTTAAAGCCTAGACACATTGTTGGAGGAAAATTTACCTAGGAAACATTTAACTGATGTTTATTGCTGTATTAACTTAGAAATAACCAATTATTGGCTGAGGCCTTAAATGGATTGCTGTACACTCTCGCTCTGTTTCTTTCAGAAAAGCTAAAAAAATTGTTTTATGATAATTAATAGCCCAATCAAATAAAAGCATTGACATATTAAGCTTCTTTCTGATATTATATGAAAAATGGAGGGGATTCAGACCCCCAAATCTGCATTTACATTTACAAAATTTGTTTGTTTGTTTATACTTAAGAACAAACTAAACAATAGGCGAGCTATCTGTGCTTTGCCCATCATAGGTATTGAAACCATATTTTTAGCATTTTAAGTTTACAAACATACCACTGAGGGGTTTATACAACATTAAAGAATAGTTAATTTCTGGAAAAAAAAAAAAGGATGGGTGGAAGTCCAAACCCTTCCCTAGATCTGAGCCAACTTATACAACATTAAAGAATACAGCTAGGAAATTATAAAATGAAAATATAACACAATGTAAAAAAAACAAAAAAACACTTTTCTTAACACTTAAGTAGCCAGAGAGTTAGCAGTTGGTGCTGCCATCTATTTGCCTTCCCTTTAGTCAGCAATTCAAAATGAGTGACAGTGATTACATAGCCTTTATTTAATATTTAAGTAGCCAGAGTTGGCAGATGGTGCTGCTAGCCATTTGCCATCCCTCTAGTCAGCAGCTCAAAATTAGCAACAGTTTCAGATAGCCTAAGTAGCTTTACAATAACAAAGACAGGCAAATTTAGTAGCAATAGGATCAAACCTGAGTCCCTCCCTCCATTATGTAGCTTTGCACTTAACAACAAAAAACACAATGACAACATTTTGATTATTTAGATAGTTGGAAAATTTAAAAACAGTAAATAATTGGAAACCCTAATTTCAGTTAGTGGATTAATTTCATTACAATCAATTTATTTATAATTTCATTTAATCAATTGTTACAATAATTGAAAACAGTAATAATCAAAAACACTAATTTCAATTAATTGATTATATTTGTGACATTAATCAGTTATTTGTAAATTATTTTTCTCAACATCAATTACTTTTTTATTATTGTTGTTTCATTTTAACTATAATTCATAAAAATTGGTGAACCAGTAAGTTAGTCTTGTTTCCACAGTGGGTCATGCAAGTATAGCATGAATGGGAGAAATCTACATTAGTAATTCAAAGAACCTATGAGTGGAAGCAAAGGAGAATATATTCTAACATGTTATCCACACCATATCCACAACATCAAGCACTGACAAGGTCTCCTTCCCGACACCAGGGCTCATAAGACAAGATGCGACTCAAAAGACACAGTAGTGGCCTTGACACTACACACATGATCAATTTTCAAAACCACCACTACCAAAATGTGAATCAGACCAAACAAGTGAATTTCAGTTATTACCAATTTTAAGTCACTCGCAAATTAATTTTTTAGGGCAGTATAATTATGAACTTAGGAAGTGTATCTTCACAAAATTTAGTAAGATTTTAATAAACATTACAAGTCTGTTGCACACAAAAAAAAATCTGATTTTTGAATTAACTATTTCATCTAAAGACTCGTCTGTGAATTTACACAGCTTTTTCTCAGTTAGTCCAAGTGCATGGTGATTTTCATGTTAAGAATGAAAATATTTTTTCAAATTTCATTTGCATAACTTCTAGAAGCTCCTAAATGAATATCAAAAGCTTGTTTTTGTTCTTCTTTTGGTAAAACTATATTGTATGTTATTTTCACTACCTTAACATTATATATGTCCATTAGAACAACCTTGTAACCACCATATAACAAAAAGTATGAAATAATCTAAACTATTTGTTTTCTTTCTACAATGAATGCACACTATAACAGGCAATGACGCAGTATTATTTTTACTGAAGCTAATAAAATTTTCATTTAGTTTTATTTCTTTATGGTTGCACTTAAGACTCTCTCAGAGTACCATGGTATCTATTTATTACACAGACAGTATATATTGTATATAAAGGATCCAGTTGCCAGCATGCTCATTAAAGTATGCTATCATGAGTATTTTGGTTATTTAATTTCATTTAAATTTTTTTAATTTTACATAACAAGTTTCTAATTTTTACATTTTAGTTACTTTATAACAACAGATAAAAAATATACATAACAACAAGGAATTTAGTACTTAAGTCTGAAATCTTATCTTTTTCAAACTTTAGTATTTGTACAATAGAAGCCCACATCAAAAATTAAGCCTACTTCTTAGTAATGACAGTGTGGTCTCAAACTTTTTTGTAATATTCAAAGTCATTCAGCATTAATTAACCACCAGTTTGGGCAAATATATATATATGCTAGTATGGACTTTTTATATATATATATTACAGAGAAAGTGTAATAGATTTAGAAATAATTTTCTCTGATGTAGAGAAAATCTAAAGTAATCTAATAACAGATGACATGTGAAATTTAATGCTATTTAAGCGCCCTGTCCATGAAAAAATATGCTAGTCGGGAATTAATTTTTAACTGTTAGTAGTGCATTAATGTATTTTACCTATTCCACTTGTAAAGCATATGGGATATTGATTACACTAATCCTAATTTTTACTTTTCATGAGGAAACATCACAAGACATATAGTATGTCAATTAATTTTTAGCTGTTAGTAGTGCATTAACATAAGTGAAGCAACGTATCATTAGAATGATTTGATATATAGATATATTTACTTTATTCACAACTGGCACATGTTATTTCAAAATCATACTTTATGCAAGATTTTAATTTGCAATTCTCATAGGAATATTAAGATTCAATCACAACAGTTCAATATTTCAATTCTACAGATAAAATCCTGATGTGTGTATGTTTTACCATTATATATCACAATAAAATCAGCTACACACACTTAACTAAATCTCTATCTTATAGAACAATGTGTGGAAATATAAGAACTAAAACAGACTTACCATCAGCTCTGATCTCTTTCGGGCCTAAACGGCATAAGGAAGAAGTGGGGAAGTGGGTATCAGCCAAAACTGTAACATAAAAATCCCAGTATGAATTAAAGAACTGTAAAAATAATAACAATAATATAATAGTGTTATAATGTATTCTATTGTTCTCTTAGATTATTTGATAAAAATAATACAAAGTCCAGTTCATGTAATGGTAATGAATTGGTTTATTTCTTCCTTAGCTTTTCTACAGGCTATGCTCACACTGACACAAGTTGTAGGGCTACATTCAGAAATAATGTTTCAATATAAATTCCTCTCTAATGGTACTACACCCAACCTACTAATAAACATACTTGCTCAATTTCATGGCTAATAGATTAAGTAATTAAATATATGCAGTAACTTTCACTACTATTATTATAACACTGAATAACTTTTGACACTGACTAGACATACTCACTGAATATTTCATTAACTGAACTCAGTCATCAGTGATTATTTCAATTTATTTCATACCCCTGTTTCACAAAGCTTATCAATTATTACATCATAATTAAAAGCTCACTCAAGCAAACATCTAACTTAAGATATTAGAAATATTGCTTACAACAATATCTAACTGTCAGTTTGTCCTTGCTGCAAATCACAAGTTTTGTAGTACTTGTTCAGATTAGCTCTCTCACCCCCACCCCACCCCCCTTTTTGTGCTCAGCATCAAAAAATTTCCTCAGATGAAACTTAATTTTCCATGGAGGATATTTTAGGCCAAATTAAAAATAAATACATAAATGAGTGAATATATACATATATATATTGACAGAAATAAAGAAAACTTTATTTATATATGCCTGCATTGCTACAGTTATTTAGTTATTCATTTATTCTACATTTCTCATATGTTTTTTACATCATGATGCTCCAGTGATAGTTGCATCAATCAAAGCTTGTGGGTGCTATTATTTCCAACATTGGCTAACCCACCATGGACTGGGAATTAACTGCTACTGAATGATAAAAATGGAAGATTAATAATGGTGGCTTTTGATAATAAATTGACACGTCTAAATGAAAACTTTTTCTAATTTTCTGTGATATTTCAAGCAAATCCCCTTCATCAGACAGTAAAGACCATGTCTCATATCTTTAACACCTTTATTTAAGTTGTTTAAGGGAAAGGTGTTTGAGACCACTTTAGTTTAGATAGCATTTTTAAAAGAATTGGTTTTACATAAATACATAAACAACATTTTCAGTTTGTAGTATATTGTTTGAACATTTTAGGTTTTAGTTAGAGGATTAACATTTTAACTTTAATTGCTTACATATAGTATGATCTAGTCAGGGAAACCGATTATGTACTTGGAATATTTAAAACCTATTGTAGGAGTGTCACATTGCTAGTTTAGAGACCATTCATCTGGTCACAGCTATTTATACATCTATCACTTAGGCCTTCTAGAAATCTCTATAGCCTTGACATCAATGGATTGCACACAATGTTCGATAGCCTCAACATAAATGAATTACAAACACAAAATAAATAAATTAATAATACAGTCTACACTAAACAGTCTTTTATATCTGACACACTAGCATGCATGGAGTCAATTGTATGCATATACAGTGAGTTGGGGTAAAGTTGGAAGGCATGGGTTCTGTATATATCCTCTTATTGTCAGTCCAGCACTCTGAGGTACAAGTATCTTCCTGGAGGAAACATTCCAGCTTCACTAGCCCCCAGTGTAATCCAAAATTAGAGAAACTGACAAAACTGATATGATATTAACAATATATATGTGTCCATTGAATTATAAAAATAAAACAAATGTTCACTTGTCAAGTTACTTCAATAAAATTGTTAAAAAAAAAAAGATGGAAAACAAGTAACAACAAAAACTTTTTGCAAAAATTAAGTATGATGTAGGGATGGCAATGCCCAAAAGTACAGATACCATACAAAAATTACTACATAAGTAGCCAAATCTTTCCAAGAATAACTTTTATCTACAACTAAAGGTTGAATTCCTGTCAGTTGCATGAATTCAGATTTGAATAAAAATATTTAAACTGAATAGTGCTGTAGTCTTATAGTGACTAACAACTATAAGCTTGTAAGATTGACTTGGTACTTATTTTGTTTCTGTATTTTTTGGCATTCCCATTCCTACATCATTCTTAATTTTTGAAAAATATTTTTTATTACTTGTTCACTCTCACTCACCTACTGCAACAATACTGTGTGCAGCATACACATTTCCTGCAACAATACTGTGCACAGCATACACATTTCCTGCCAATTTAGTATTATTTTACTTGTTCATAAGTTTGTTTACATTAATTTTGGAGCTTTTAAGTGTTGTACCTAGAAATATGTAGTTACTCAAATGGCTTGTAATCAAGGGAAATGAATATCGTAAATCATTTTTATTAGGCAATAACATACATAGCCAAAGTAAAAACCTACTATTTTGAATATTCTTTAAGTAGCCTAAATTTAAGGTAAAATAACAAAAATTAGAATAACATCAATTTATTTTATAAAATAAAACTTAATACTCATAACTTTATCTTACAAAGTTTGAAAACCATTAGAAAATGAATAAAGATGCTTGGAACGTTTTTCACATTGTATTAGATAAAACAAAAACTTCGTACTTTAAATCATTAAGTACCTCTTGTTATATCTACACTTTAGGAACAATGCCTTTATTTTTATGGTTTATTATAATTTCTTGCATATATAACAAAGAATTCTATAAAAAAATGCAACATAAGGATTTAATACACATAAACTGTACAATACTGGCTAGAATAAACTGTCAAATAGTATGCTGAGAAATCAATAAGACAAACAACTTATAAATATTAACATTACTACTTACTAGTACTTGTCTAAGCTGCAGGTAACTACAGGCAGACATTTGTTTCCACTTGTCATTTTTACTTACAACATACATGTAGAAGAGATAGTCATACTGAAACTGGACTTTGTTCATATAAATAGGCTAACAACTTAACAGTGTTACATATTATTGATTTGTTAGAGTATTATAAAATACAAATTTGATTATGTCTAGTAACAAAAATTGATTCGTAAATTTACATTTCTAATTTATCACATCATTAAAAGGTTGGCATGAGAAGGAGATAAAGAATACTGCTTTAGCATCAGGAGAGAGGTTACAGAATCAGTAGTGTTTGCCCCATGATCAGAAGGTTCAGTATTCCAAACTTGCAAGCTCCTGTTACAACTTCCATCAAAACACAAAATCAGGAAAGTAAGAGTTGTGATATTACAAATATAACACAAAAACAAAGTAAAAAATAAACATTATAGTTTATTTTATATTAATGAGTAAAGTTATGTAATTTATAAATGATAATACAATGTAAAAAAACAGATTTTACAATTTACACCTTATCAGTGACTCCAGGGCTTTGAAAGTGAAGAGGTCTAATTAGATATTTACTAGCAATATTTACAAATTTACATTAATGTCACTTTTAAATATGAAGGAGGGTCCAGACCCCCTGGACTCCTCTTGATCCATACCTGCTTACACAAAATAAAATTTCTTAATTCATTTGAATAATTAAAGGGGTCCAGATCTCCTAGATCCATGTCTACTTGCACAACACTAAATAATAGTTACCAAATAAAATCCAAACCATAGCACAATAAATTTACACTTTATTTAACACCATAGTAGCCAGCAGTGAGTGCTGACAGCCAATAGTCTTCCCTCTAGTCAGCAGCTCAAAATGAATGACAGTGATTAAATAGCCTTTATTTAACATTTAATTAGACAGAAAGTCAGTGGGAGTGCCTTCCCTTCAATTAGTTGTATTTTCATAATGTTAATCAATTATTACAATAATCAAAAACAATACTAATTAAAAACACTAACTTTAATTAATCAATTAATTCGTCCAACTCTTAACTGAAGGGAGAAGTGACTCCTATTTTGGGAGTCTGGCTTGACTCTTATGACATAAAATGAATAATACCATTTTTCCTTATGCACTGAAGTGACTGGATGAAAAGCAGAGTGTTTTTCATAAACAGAGTCCAGTCAACCTATGAGCAATGATTTCAGTTATTATTATCATATATATTAACTGACTAATCAAAACTACGGTTAAATCAATTAACTGAAATTAGGCTTTCTGATTACTATTATTTTCGATTATTCCAACTATCCAAGTTATCAGTCACCTGTTGCTGGTAATAAAACACAAAACATAGCATTAATTATGTTAGATCTATCCTGATGTATTTATAATTATACTATGTGTTTCGTATTGGAGAAAAACATTTTTATTTTTTAATATTTGCCACAAATCTTAGCAGTGTGTATAATTTGATATATACCTCAGCTTCTTAATATATTATTATTAAAACTTATAGTATTAGTATAAGTGTGATGGTAAACTAAAGCACACTCAGCAGAATCCTTGAAAAGCATGCTGAATACAGAGATGAAGCAGTACTGTTCATAAAGTAAAGCTGCTTACAAGTGAGATCAGCAAGCTAAAACCTCACTTTTCATTGTATTTTGCAAGATGGTGACTAACATGAAAGAAGTGAATTTCAATGATGGTAATGTCATTTACACGCAATTCTTGACAGTGAAACTGTAGATCATGTTGAATTACGTCAGTCTATGCCTTTTTTGTGGTAATATAAATCACAACTTGAACTGCAAGAATTAGTTCACCATGTTTAATGTAAACTGTAAAGTTGTGTTAATTCAATTTCTTATTCTTTTTAGGCCTATTCCTCTTGTCAGGTAACAAGATATACTGAAAATTAAATTTTTAATTTACTATATTTTTGTAGTATTAGTAATAAAATTGTAATTAATAAAACAAGTCTTTATAGTTTTATGTAAACAGAAGACATTTTTCATATATATACACTAATAACAGAATGTGCCTTGGTGGATTTGTAAATAGTGCTTGTACTTCGTAGATAATTTATTAAATAAGGGCATTATTATTATGGCATTACACCATATAAGGTTAATTTTAAGTGTAACTTTAAGAAAAGAGCATACTTTTTAAGCTTTACAAAGTTAATGTACATTATAGATATTTTAAATAAATGTTACTGAAATTGAATGTAGTGCTTGAATTTGAAATTCCAGTATACTTTTCCACTTACACATCCAGCATAAGCATATGAAATTTTTAATAAAGTTATTAATGGTTAATTGTTATGTTCAGTCATCACATCATCTTGTCATTTAAGAGGCCTAACACCACCCAACAACACTGAAAATTGCAATAACGAGACTGAAATAGTTTACCAGGAAAAAGCTTCTGAAAGTGACATGTTATTCTTATTCTTAAATTGCCAATAATATTATGGAAAAAAGTTAGAATTTATTGTAAATACAAATAATTAATATTAGGCTGATCCTGATGGAGTTCATTAAATTTCTGTGGCAGTATACTAGTAGTAGATGCAAATGCTTTGAAATTTATTTATATTCTTATGTATCTTAAGTAAGGGTACATATATATCATTTATTTATCAAACTTTACATAATAAAATAGTTGTGTGCAGCTTCCTTATGAAAAAGAAGTACAAGTAATGAAGTCATAATATTATGCTATTAATTTATATTTGCAGAACACAATTATGTGTGTGTGTGTGTGTGTGTGTGTGTATATATCAGTACAAAATAATCTGATTGTCGTAGGTAAATGGTTCACTACAGCTGTAAAGTGCCTTATTGCCATATGGTTAGACATGGCAGACATGTCTGAAAATCCACTATGCACAAAAAGAAAACTGTAAAGTAAGGTGGGAAAAAAAAAGAAAGACAAAGGGTTTCCTGAAAATGGAGAAGCATGTGATAAGAAGTTAAGAAATCTTTTCCAAAGATATATAAAAGTTAAAGACAAACAATGAAACAGGATAGGCTACAAAAACTGGGAGTTTTTCACTTATTGGATGCTGGTCTTGGGAACAAAGTTTCTTCAAGTCCACCTGCCAGTTACCTATCATCTTCAATAGCCCCATATTTAACCCACCCAATAAATTCAGAAATTGTAGGCCCATCAATGTCACTTGATCAAGACAAACAGTGACACACATACCCCCCATTGCTTTTTCTACAAGTTGCAAGTCTGGCAAAATGAAAAGAACACCCAGCCTCCAGACTGGTTTACTGAATTCTTAGAAGAAAGAAAGGCAAAAATAAAAAAATAAGAGAGAAACAAGAAAGAGATTTCAGGGAACAAGAAAAGGTGCAGGCAATAAACAGACTTACAGATGCAATATTACAACTTGTTGCAAAAAAAAATGTCCAGAACTGATATAATTTTTTTATTTCTTTATTAATTTATGTTTAAAGTAGAAAACAAGAAATTAAAAACATTATAATAAGATAATTATGTTAAAATTAGAAACTTGTCTGTCTGGTTTTTTCCATGTATTCTACATTATATTTTAGTCTTATAATACTATGAATACATTATGCTAAAGGGTTAAATATCACTTTTTTTAATCATTATTACTCCTGTGACAACTTTTTTTCACATTAGATAGTGTTGACAGTTGAATTTTACTATAGAATGCACACAATAAAATAAAAAATAATTAACTATAAACATAATTAGGAAAACAACACTTCAAAAAATCTATTAAGGTTATTTATATAACAGATATTTGCAAAGCAGTTATTTGTTTTGGCACTGAAAAGTGGTTGTCAGAAAATCTCTCTCTGCAATAGCTTCCTTGTTTGTAACTGGACCTGTTTCTTCAATGTGTGATGGTTGAGTGTCATCATCCACAACAACATTCTCTTGTTGAATTATGCATATATTGTAAAATATGCAACAAGCCACTATAACTTTAGGTACCAGTTCTAACTTTTTCATGTTTAAGTACCTTAATTGTCTAAATTTATTTTTTAACAAGCCAAATGCTCATTCAATTTCAACTTATGTGGAACCGAGTTGCAAATTAAATTGCTTTTGCTGCATTGTTATATTCCCATAGTTCTTGTATAGCACCATTAAAAATGAATGTAAAGGGTAGCCACTGTCTTCCAGTAAATGATCATTTACAGCTGATGATGAGACAAGCTATGAAAAAACTGGGATGGTTTTTTATACCCGTGCATCACTGGATGATCCTGGCCAGTCTGCAAACACATCCAGAAACTTTAATTTGGAATCACAAACTGCTTGTAAAATCAAAGAGTAAAACCCCTTCCTGTTATAATAACTGGCTGGATCTCTTCCTACTTTGCTGATTTGGATATGTGAGCCATCAATACAACCAAATACTCCAGGAAACAAATTATTATTGCAACCCAATTTTAAAGTCTGCAACAATATTTTCAGTGCCCTTTCCAGATGGCCACTTAATATACTAATTTGTCAGGTCACAAGTTATTGCAGAATGGCTACTATTTCAAACAAGTGACCTTTTGACACACCAAAGTGATGTGAAACACCTCGGGATGATTCCTGATTTGAAAGTGTCCATCAAGCTGCTAAACCACTTTTTCCGTTGTGACTCTAGGCCTTCCTACAGTACTCCAAGGCTTTCTTGTGACCATAAGTTTAATAACCTCCTGCAATAAAAGAAGAAAATATGTTAAAAAGTCACCCATGATATATACATAAAAGAAATTAACAAACCCACAGGAAATCTGCCTTTATTTTTTGTTACTCAAAATCTATGAATGAATAACATACTGCAATCAAAATTAATCATATGATAGAACATATAACATACTAATAATTACACTTGTGCCATTTTAATGAGCTTTTTAAATATGCTATTAAAAAGTGATTCCATTAACAATAGTGCATTAGCTTGCTTTTAGTTTTAACACAAGTGAAATACCATTCACATATCACTTTTGTTCAAATCACTAGTTAAATGATCTAAATTCTAAATAACTGAAATTTATATAGAAAGCAGTAGCATTTCCCTCAGTCTAGTAATACTAATAGTAATAATACAACCAGCTACACTCGAGAACTCTGTAAAAATTTAATGTTAGGGTCGTTTTTTAACGTGAAAAAAACAACAACATATTTCAAGTTTTCGGTCTGGAAAGAGGTTTAAAATTAGACAATAAAAATGTCAGCGATTCTGAAACTACTGTAAATTTAGGCCTACCTCAAATACAGACTTCCTCAATATTAAATGACTTTGAAAAGCATCATCCATACTGTCGCACAGTCTTCTCCACATAATCCTTCACTTTGGTTCTGTCAGTTTTACCAACGTTACTGTTGAACAACGAAAAACATGCAGCAATATCCTTATCACTATCCAATTTGTCTGAATCATATAAATCACAATGAACATCAGTCATAAGCGAAACAACAGCTGTGCAAGCAGTGGCGTCTTGCCGCTAGCTACCTTCAAGCGATCCGCCGAGTGCGCTTTAGTTTACTAACACAACTTATAGTACTAGTACTACTGCAAGTGCTACGGCCAAGTTGTCATGTACTTAAAATTTAAATCGTATAATTTATATGTTCTCTATCTATATAATTAAGCTGACGTCACAAAAGTACTTACCAATCTCATCTCCATGACCCATGGAACATAATACATGTAGAAGATCAGGAGACAAAATATTTGGAATTCCTTTCAGTGTCATTATTAATAAGAACCGATGCCTAATAATACACCACTTTACTTACTCAGGTCCCAGTTTACCGCCTTGGTGTAAAGAAAACAACACTGGGTGGCGCTATGATATAAGTATATTTAGAAGTTGAACTTATTATTACTATGATATTAGGAGAACCAACATTTTGATATATACTGAAACAGAAGAGAAACTAAAATATGTTATTGCAAAATTATGTTCGAAGTCAACGAAAGGTCTGTCGTGGGAAGTTTTTCGTCATCGCTGGTTTAGGGGCGGCGGCAAAAAAAGAGAACAGAGGTTGCATCAGTAAGAGGCGGTAGAGAGTCGGCGAACGTGTCTATTCTTAGGGGAGTTGACGAATTGAAAAGAGGTAGACGTATGGTGGATTAAGATACCAAGGTAGATTTGGCTGTATGGCTGTTGCCGTGGTGCGGGTTGAGACTGTTTGAATTCCTTTGTTCATGGTGACAGTTCGGGTCTGAGTTTTACGCTCACGTATGGTTGAATTATCATGAAAGGTACCTTCGTGGTTGGTTTGAGTCTGCTGTGTTTGAGTTGACTTATCTTGGGGTTTCTTCTTTTTTAAATTCGCTGTCTGGGTTTGTTAGTCGCACATTGTTGGTTTTGCCATGGAAGGGATCTGGGTTTCCTGGTTTGTGGATGGTGTTGAGTGGGCCTGGCATGAAAGATGTATGAGAGATTTATTGGCATGGGTTGGAGGCAGTCATGATTTACGGTGGGATCTTTTCGCTTTGAAATGGAAGAAGTAGAAAAGCATCCACGGGGGAGAATATGGTTTGCTTGGAGATGGTTACTATTTTCATAAAATAATTGGGATTTCCATTCATCTTTAATATGATTCTGTGGACTACATGGATTCTTGAATTATTGTCTTGTTCAAGGGTATGGAAAATTTCGTCAGTGGTGATGGACTGGTCTATATATATTGTAGGAAGACTGTATGAAGGCAGGCATGGTTTTTAGGAGATTGAAATCCAGGGTTTACATTGGTAGATTAAGTCGTAGGTTCTAAGATGATTCCTCCTTTATGTAACTTTCTCGTGGCCTCAGGAAATAGGCGGATAAATGGTTTGAATCTGCGGATGAAGTCCACGAATTGATGAGGTGAGTAATCATAAGGAAGCCTGCCAATGATGACGAGAGTTATCATAAGATGGTCTGCACGTGGGAAACCACCTGCGTGGTTGTAGAGCAATGGATGGGATGTCTGGGTCAGAGTTTTAAGTATATATATATATATGGGTGTGGGCTAAGGATTCTTCTACAGTAGATTAGTGATAAATTGGAACAATAGCCGGACTGCACACACTCCACTTATTTTAAAATAATATATTCAAAACAAGATAAACATATGTACAAAACGTCTTTACACTATGGAGATCACATTTGTATCTTAAACACTATACAGTCTTCTTGTTCTCAAAAGTCCACTTAGGCTGAGTCAATTACTATAGAATCTAGCTGACAAGCCAAACTATTTTTCCCTACTTTTATAACAATAGTGTCACTGAATAATTCACTTCCGCTACATTGTGGGTTGCCACAGTTGTATCCTGAACTTCAAATAATTGTCTTCTTTTTGTTAAAGGCTAAACAGGGGGTTCAATTAGTTTATAATATCCTTTGAAAAGACAAATTATTATTCCTATCTCTATCAAACTATTAAACTCACTTTAACAGTCTGCATAGCTTGGTATCCAGTCGAGGATTAAACTGTCAGTGTGTGTCCAACCGACCGAATCATGGTAGTTGTTTAGGTTAAAATATCTTTCAGGCCCAGAAGTGGTCTGAAAGATAACTAAGGGCAGTCACAAACTTCTGTTTCTCTTCACCTCACCTCATGAGTTAGTATTATATGGCACGTGAATATTAAGAATTTTGGACTAACAGGGGGTGGATTTTTTAATTAAAAACATAAACGTTTGATGCTAGACTAAATTGGTGGAGTGTCTCAAAACATCAGGAGATGTTTGTGGAGATCAAGAAATAAGTTGAAGGAAGGAGAGTATCAAGCTTCTTGTTGATAACTGCTGCTTCTTGGGATTGTTGACTACAGGGATGAAAATATATTTTGATGAATGACAATGACCAAGGCTGTTCCAAGATTAACAAGTTGCAATAATATATACGTGACTGATTTAATCAACTTAATTTACTGTTTAGATAAGTTAAACTAAATTAGACACCATAAATTATGGTTTTAACAAAATCAGAAAATTTGATTTTGGTTTAAGCATGCTGAAATGTGTTCATTTTAGGGTTGGGATCTATAGATCCAATCCTAGTTATAGAATTAGTTTTGGTAGGGGGGGACAAGAGTACCCCGAGAAAACCCACTTTCACGGCCAGGGTGCCTCATAAAATTGCCCTGACTGTGCCTGGAAGAAGCTGTGGAATAAAAACACAGATTAGTATTCATGGTAAGATACACTTGATAATTTTAATAACATCTAATGAGGGTTAAAAAAGGCTGGACGGTTGAAAAGTCGACGTTATGATAGGTAGGGCCTGGGTGTTGTCGGGTTTGGGTTCACTTGGGCTGGAACGGATCAAGCAAAGGAATAGCAACTTTTAAAGGGCGATATTTCTCGTTCAGTAGAAGCATCAGTCTGTTGGACTTCGTTAAGCTGATGTTTCTTGGAGGATTGGGTTGATTTTTGGAAGTCTTTGTCAGGCTGGTCCTCAGTCTGGATACATCTGTCTTTCTTGGCAATTCGTATCTGTATTTGTTGTCTGATTAGTTGAGGGTGGTCCATGGAAGTGAAGGGATCGTACTTGGTGATCTGGGGGTGTTGTAGTCTGTTTTTTGTGAGATATTCATAAGCATGGTTGTCTTGCATGTTCTTTTCAGTGGCTTCAGATGTGGCTTTGTTGGCAACTGGTGTTTCTGTGTAAAGCTTTGGTAATCTATTGGTTAGAGATGAGCAAGGAGAAGGCTTGCTGATACTGTTATCAGAATAGGCTGGGCAACAGTGCGGGCATTCAACTCTGTAATGAGAAAAGTGATAAGAACAACCATTAGAAAGAATATAGTTAGCTGTAAGTCCAGATGTCGTGACTACGTTGATGAATTAGATGATATGGCCTGTTGTTCTTGAACGAATCCAGGGAACTGCACGTAATTTCGTCTTGGTGGCTTCTTCTAAGGTCTGTTGAATTTCTTTTGGTATTGCAGTAAGGTTGCCGCCCCTGAGAAAACAGAAAAAAGATTAGTGGAACTCTTTGGGATTACATTAGGGTAGGAATTCTAAATACAAAATGTTAGCTTGTGTTGAGGGTCGAAGAAAGATTTCACCCTGTCGAAATATTCGGGTCTTTGTAAGGTCAATGGATACTCCTGGTTTAAATTTGTCTTCTTCCTTCATTTTATTTCCTGATCTCTACAAACACAGCTTTTCCTGCTGTCTTGAGACGCTCAGCCAAGTTAATCTAGCATGAATCATCTATGTTTCTAATTAAAATTCCACCCCAGTTAGTCCAAAATCATTCATGCTCATGTGACATGTAATCTTAATTCATGAAGTTGGGTGAAGAGAAACAGCAGTTTATTTAGTTCAAACACATATATTTTGCCTGAGCAACTTTCATTTGAGTGTTCAATCATATCAGTTCATTGTGGATTATATCTTGTTGTACTTTAGGTTAGTAGTCTTTATTATTTCATGCTATCCTCTTTTCACAATGTTTATATTCTTAATTAACACATAGTCTTTATGATATTGGATCAGCATTACCATGGTTCTGTCTAGAGTAATGCACAATGTTAAAGTTTTAGTCATAAAGTCTCTAGAGCCATCTTATTATCTGACCTTCTGAATTTTGAAAATTCACCCACCACTTCTATGCTATGTGATCTGTCTTGAGCATAAAATTTTGTCCATATAGATAATGATGGAAATAACTTAGGACTGGAACAACACTTACTCGCTTTTTCCAAGTGATACAATACATTCTTTTTGCGGCATTCAATGCCTTGCTATAGTAGACAATCATATGGCTTTTCTATTCTGTACTTGTGATAACAAAAATCAGTGAAATCTGTATCTAAAATCAGGGAACTTTCAAAAGTTTGGTATTCTAATATAAGAGTAATGGTTTAGTTTATTGAATGCATGTTTACAATCAACAGTTCAACAAAACTTATTTGGCTCTTCAAGTAATTTGTGTATAAGACGAGCTATGTCAAAGAATGATTTAAAAAAAAACAACAATAGTAAGATTATAGTCTGAAAGAGCTGATGTAGTGATTGTATTGTCATGTAATGCACAGGGATTTTCTGGTCATAGACTGTGAAGCAATTTGAAGCTATCCTAGCCTCACATCCATGTCTTTGTAAGAAGTTAGTTTCCAATGTGTACTCTTACTAGATATCACATACCCACACATCCTATGATGTACAGAAGCCTCCAACATGTAAAGGTAACTTCTAGCTTTTCCTTCGCTAGAACTTTATGTCCACCTGCTGTGTGCATCAATCCCTCTTCTTTCTTCACCTCTGGCAGCAATTTCCAACCTTTCATTATGAAATCAGGTGGAACAATTATAGGAGTAGAACCAACATTGATCAAAATACCCTAAGGTTTCCCATCGTAAGTGTGTGAATTGGTTTCATTAAATAATAAATTTCTTATTTCATTTTGGACAGATGAGTATTCTCCACTAAACTTCGCTTCATAAGTCAAACTTGTTCCAGTTTTCCTAGTTTTAATGTTTTAATTCACTAACATTTTTAGTATGCAACATATTATTCAACATAAATAATGTGCATCAGACAAATCAATACTTTCTTGTGTTCTGTTCTGTTAGCTCATTAATGGTTGTTCTTTCTAACATGAACATATGTTATAGCCATTCAATCATCAGATTCGCATTACACAGAACAGAAGTTTTTTAAAGTGAAATTTTGTGTTCAACGTCACTATGATTACCTCATTCGGCTCAGGTCTAAGTTTGTTTGTTTTGAATTTCGCGCAAAGCTACACGAGGGCTATCTGCGCTAGCCGTCC